TCCCCCTCTTCTTGCCCTCTTCCCAGCAAACCTCCCCCCCGCAGTAAACGCCCATCCCGTTATCCAAGTTGATCCCGCCAGCCTCCCCCGAAGCCATCAAACTCGTGACGCTGCTCTGCTCCTTCTGCCTTGCCCTCACTTCCCCCCCCAAACCCCCCCCTTGTTCCCCCCCGCCAGTCATCCCACTGTCGAAGCTCATCCCATCAGCCTCGCCTGAGGCTATCGTCCTCATGACGCTGCTGTGCTCCTGATCCTCCTCCCGCTTCCCCTTCCCTCCCTACAAGCCCAACCCCCCGCCAGTACACGCGCCACCCCCGCTTTCTCCTGCTGTGCTCCTGATCCTCCCCCGCTTTCCCTTCCCCTCCCTACACGCCCCTTCCTCCCTCTCCTCTCTCTTCCCTCCCCTACCCCCCCCAGTACACGCCCATCCCACTGTCGAAGCTCATCCCATCAGCCTCCCCCGAAGCCATCGACCTCATGACGCTGCTGTGCTCCTGGGACCCTGCCAGGAGGCCCACGGCCGCGCAGTCGCTGCAACACCCCTTCTTTCTGGTGAGGTTGGAGCTGACCCTGAGAGATAAGTGGGGTTATTGTACTGGCGACAGGTCGTGACTCTGCTCTGCTCCTGGGACCCTGCGAGGAGGCCCACTGCCGCGCAGTCGCTGCAGCACCCGTTTTTCCTGGTGAGGTTGAACTGAGTAGTAAGTCTACTGGCGTCGGTGTGCTCGGTGCGTGTGCTGTCGACACCTCATGACGCTGCTGTGCTGCTGGGACCCCGCGAGGAGTCCCACTGCCGGACAGCCGCTGCAGCACCGCTACTTCGTGGTGGGTTTGAGTGGGTGACGAGAAGGGAGATCAGGGGGCGGTTTGTGGGTAAGGTGACGCTGCTCTGCTCCTCGGACCCTGCCAGGCGTCCCACTGCTGCGCAGTCGCTACCTTTCTCCTGGTGCGTGAGAGGGTGGGGTTGGTGTATATAGGGCAGGGAGAGGAGATCGGCGGATCAAATGGGGCGAGAAAGGGGTGAGTGAGCCACATGACGCTGCTCTGCTCTGCTCTGCTCCTGGGACCCTGCCAGGAGACCAGCTGCCACGCTGACACTACAGCACCCGTTTTTCCTGGTGAATTTGAACTGAGTAGTAAGTCTGCTGTGGGGAGTGTGTTGGGGTTAGTGTGCCGGCTGCAACTCATGATGCTGCTCTCTGCTCCTGGGACCCTGCCAGGAGACCAACTGCCAGGTAGGCACTGCCAGCCGCTGGACCCACCCTGTCACGTCCCTGCACCTCCCCTCGTTCGCTCTCTTCCCTTTCCCGTGCCTTCCCAACCCCCCTGCTGTTCCCAACCCCCTGCTGTTCCCAACCCCCCTGCAGTTCCCAACCCCCCTGCTGTTCCCAACCCCCCTGTAGAGCAGCATTCAGGTTCCGCCAGTCATGCCGTCGTTCAATGGAGTCATTTTTTAGAATTCTCAAAATTCCGCCAGTCATGCCGTCGGTCGCGGAAGCCTGCGGCCACCAGCTGCAGCCACCCCGTGACATCCCTGCACCTCCCCTCACCTTTTGCCCTTTCCCCTTCCGCATCACTCTTCCCCTCTCGCGCCCCCACCCCTCCCCCCCCCCCCCCCGCACCCTTACAGAGCGGCATTCAGGTCCCCCCTGTCATTCCATCGCCCAAGCCTGCTGCCACCAGCTCCAGCCGCTCTCATCCCGTCACATCCCCGCACCTGCCCTCCCTGCCGCTTCCTTCCCCAATCCCCATGCCTTCCGTTCTTCTCCACCTCCCCTTTCCACTCTTGCCTCCCCTCCCTGCGGCTCCCTTCCCCAACCCCCTTCCCTTTTCCCCTTCTCCTCTTCCCCTTCCCCTTCCCCTCCCCCCCCTTCAGAGTGGCAGTCAGGTCCCGCCAGTCATGCCATCGCCCAAGCCTACTACCACCAATTCCAGCCGGACCCACCCCGTCACATCCCCGCACCTGCCCTCCCTGCCACTCACTTCCCCACCCTCTCTGCCTTCCCTCCGTCCCTTTTCCTTTCCCCCAACACAGAGTGGCATTCAGGTCCCGCCTGTCATGCCGTCGCCCAAGCCTGCTGCCACCAATTCCAGCCGCACGCACCCCGTCACATCCCCGCACCTGCCCTCCCTGCCGCAAGGCGCCAGCAAGCCCTACAGCCACCTGGACGAGCATCTAGACGAGTGGGAAGGGGCGCCGGGGCAGTCGGGGGGAAGTGGAATAGGAGGGGAGGGGGAGGGGGAGGGGGGTACCTGCAACAGCCGCAGAAGCAGCCGCTGCAGCCGCACCTGCCACAGCAGCAGCAGCAGCAGGGGGGGTATCAGGGCCAGGATGGCTCTGGAGCAAGAGCAGCGGCTACGATGCTGGCGCAGAAGCAGCAGCTGCTGCAGCAGCAGCAGTTGCAGTTGCAGCAACAGCAGCTGCAGCAGCAGCAGTTGCAGCAACAACAGCAGTTGCAGCAGCAGCAGCAGCTGCAGAGTCAGCTGTCAGGAGTTGGGCTGGAGCAGCAGGGAGCAAGGAGAAACTCGGGCCAGTATGCGCAGCCGCAGCAGCAGATGGCTCAGCAGCCCATGGGGAAGCAGTTAGGAGGGGTGGTGGGAGGGCGGTCACAGGGGCAGTACGCGCAGCAGCAGCTGCAGCAGCAGCTTCAGCAGCAGTATCAGCAGCCGCACCCGCTTGATACAGAGCCGTCAGGGGTGGGTCTAGAGGCCCTAACACCAAGAACACGAACCCAGGTGCAGCAACAGCAGATGCACCAGCAGCAGCAGCAGCAGCAGCAGCAGCAGCCGTACTCGCAAATGCAGAAGAAACCACTGACTCTGCAGACTCAGCTCTCTGGAGTCAACCCTGCAGCACTGGAGACCCTAACCCCCCGCTCCCGTGCCCAGTACTACCAGCAGCAGCCGTTGCAGCCGCAGCTGTCAGGTGTAGGTCTCGACCCGCCAACCCCGCGCTCCCGGCAGCAGCAGCAGCAAGTGCAGTCACAATACCAGCAGCAGCAGGCCCTACAGTCGCAGCTATCAGGGAACCTGGCGGGGTTGCAGTCTCAGCTGTCAGGGAACCTGGCGGGGTTGCAGTCGCAGCTATCAGGGAACCTGGGGGGGTTGCAGTCTCAGCTGTCAGGGGTAGGCCTGGAGGCCATGACCCCCGGTCAAGAACCCAGGCCCAGCAGCTTTTCCAGCAGCAGCAGATGATGCAGCAGATGCAGCAGCAGCAGCAGCAGCTAGAGTCGCAAGTCGCGGGTCAGGAGCAGGCACGTATGCGTGCCCGTGCCCCTCCCACCTTGCAACAGCCGCAGCAGTCTGTGGGGCAGGGGCAGGGACAGGAATACAGTATAGTCTCACCGCGCGCCATGCAATCTTTTCAAGATGGAGGGTATGCCGGGCCTGCGGGCCTGCCGGAGAATTTTTCGGGCAGACCGGACCCAATGCATATGGATGGAGGGGGGGAGGGGGAGGGGAGGGGGAGGGGGAGGGGGGGGCGGAGGGAGGGCATGGGAAGGGGTCTCAGGGTATGGGGTTTTTGGGGAGGAAGATTGGCTCGAAGAGTATGAGCATGAGGAGTCAACAGCAGGCTGCGGATGCTGGGGAGGGGGAGGGGGAGGAGGAGGGGGGGCGGGAGGAGGAGGAGGTGGGCGGTTGGCGACGTTGCAAAGATATGGCAGCCAATTATTGGGTGGGTAATTGTTTTTAGGTTCCTCAAAATTAGGCTTTTTACTGGGTGAGTGGTAAGGGATCCTGGAGTACTACCGGGTGTGCGTTTGGAGTGCTCTCCGTTGCGCCGCGGCAGGCAAGCATTTTTCAACGAATGAAAATATCTCAGTCAAAGGAAAAGGCTTGGTGTACCACACTGCACCTAGCATTGTCACTGGTGAGTTGACTCAACAATCTCCTCCACCCCGCCCCCACCCACGGGACAACCCTTTCCCCATCTGCCCACTGTCTCGCTGCTTCCTCACAGGCATATCACGGCACTCGAATGCATCTGCCTCTTCCTCTCGGTCCAGTGCTGCAGGAGCTGCCCCCATGGTACGCTGTCCTCTCCCCATCCCCACCTCCCCCCCCCCTTCCCCCCCAAACAACCCCCCTCCATCCGCCTACTCTCTCTGTCTCTCGTCCTCTCGGTCCAGTGCTGCAGGAGCTGCCCCATGGTAAAGTGTTCTCCCCTCCCCCCCACTTCAGGTTCCTTTCTTGTTTTTCTTTTGTTTCCTCTGCTGCCGATTTCTCTTGTTTCCTACCTTCATCATCATGCCTTCTTTTTTCCTCCCTTTTCCTCTCTGTTTCCTCTTTCTTTTTCCTTCTCTTTCCTCTTTTTTCCTCATCATCTCCATGCCACGTCATCATCATCACATCAGGATATGCAGATGGACCCAACGCCTCACATGGCAGCACCATCGTCTCGCAAATCAGCAGCAGGTGAGACATGCAACCCTAATCATGCCCCTTGGGTCAACCGTCAACTTAAGAGGGGTCTTCTAGGCTACTATTTCTTTTGTCAGCATAACAGTGTGCTGCTAGCACGGGCAGAATCAGCAGCAACGTCCACGGCAGCATCAGGTGTCACATCGTCTCTCCACCCTCTCTTCCCATTTATCTGCCCCCCCCTCTCCCCCCACCGCCCCCCGCAACTCGTCCCCTAGCCCTAGCACGAGCAGGGTCAGCCGCAGCGTCCATGGCAACAGCAGGCGCCACATCCCCCCCCCCCCCTCCTCAACTCTTTCCACTCGTTCTCTTCCCATTTATCTGTCCTCCCCCCCTCCCAACTCCCCCCCCCTCAGCCCTAGCATGGGCAGGGTCAGCCGCAGCATCCATGGCAGCAGCAGGGCCCCCTCGCTCCACTTTTGAGTCGACTCAAATGTCAACTCTCCCCACTCATTCCCTCCCCGTTTATCTGCCCCCCCTCCACCTCCCCCCCCCCCCCCCTCCCCTCCTCCCTCCTGCCTCCTCTCCTCAGCGCTAGCACGAGCAGGGTCAGCCGCAGCATCCATGGCAACAGCAGGCCCGCCTCGCCCCACGACCCCAGTGCAGGCTACTCCAGGTATGGGTGTCCTCGGGGCCACTTATGCAGCATACGTGGCAGTGTGCATGTTGTGCATATCGCATATGTAAACATGCACGAGTTTCCAGACGTCTCAAAAATGTGTACCCATGTGTACCCATGTGTTAGCTCCACCCACCGCTGTTCCATTCCAACTCACCCTGCCTCCCACCACCACCAGAATGGGGACCTACCCAGCAAGCCACGCGCAGGATGCATATGCGTATGGCAATGGGCCAGCAGACATGGGCGGAGGGGAGTACTATGGCGGGGGTGGCGGCCAGATGGACATGATGGGGGGAGGCATGGGGGGAGGGGTTGGGGGAGGTGGGGTGGCAGGACCAGGAGGCAATATGGCTCGAAACGGAAGATACCCAATGGATTCGGGGGGTTATTCGGTGCATTGAGAGGTCGGCTCGTTGATTTGATTTGCTGCTGTACTTCTTGGCTGCAACTGCCATTGCTGGTGACTCGGAGGTCGGTTTCTGCTGCTGCTGCGTGTTGAAGGAGCAAGTACCAGCGGTCCCTTCAGCCAATACCAGCAGCCCCCTGCTCACTAACCACCACATCATCTCACTACTTACAACAACCCTCCAGCTTATCCATTTAATGAATTTTCTGGGGTCCCTTGTCTTGAACATGGCTGAGTGTTGTGGCAATGCCACTTGTGGTTGCAGACATCTTTGTGCAGTACTGGAAGGTCAAGCAGGCTGTTTAATAGTCATTGTTATATGAGAGTATTGGCGTTTCTCCCTTTCAATGTTGACCACTGCTTGTAAGTTCGAAAAGCATATGAATCCATAGGGTATCTTCAAACGTGCAGAAGGGACGTCCTGAGGCCTCACAGTGCTGCCCAATGAACGCAAAAGAAACAACAATGGTCACCCGCTTTAGATTGAAAAATGCCAGCTAAGTAACCAGACTACCCTATATTGGCCCATTTCGACCGTGAAAGTTTTGCGCTCGATTCTGGATTACCCGCTTGAAAAAAAAACTGGGCTTGAAAGGACTTCATGTGTATGATATGATGCGGTGGGCCATTACCGGGCAAAGTGAATCGCATGCCAAGCAAATCCCAGATTGTACACCTGGAGCACACCTAAGACCCAGCTGAAAACGTAGCCCAATCAGAAACCATCGCTCATTAGCGTTGGCACACGAGCAACGGCCCACTCAACGTGGGCCATGAACAGAGCCAGCAGTGCAGCGTCATCATGACAGCGGTGACGAACATGCGGCACAAGACGAAAGATGTGCGCCGCAACCGTTTTCACCACAAACTTCCAGACGCACTCGGAATAGCGCTCCGGCGAAGCTCAGCGAGCCTTTCGTTGAGCTCGCAAAGGTGCGTACGCCTTGTTGGGTTTGCTTGTGGCTTCAGCATCGCCGCATGAAACCGAACGCTGACTTGGCAGCGAAATGGAGTCGCGATGTCCTGATGCCAGGGGTCGTTCTCAACATCCGACAACCAACCAAGGAACAAACTCGAAAACGACTTCCCACAATCCACGCAGCAGTTTTTTTTGCGACACGAACCTTCAATTCGTAATGTAATAAATCTTAAGAACACGCATCTAACACTTGGAACTGAAATACAAATCCAAACCCTCACTACATTTCCCTGAGTATAAAAGGGAGCAAACCAAACCAGAGAAACTCACTCAACATCTCACCCGCCAACCACCACTCTGGTGCTACACCAGAGAAAATCACTCTCGCTTGAAAGCGCTGAAATTTAATACAGGGTAACTAAGTGAAAAACGACTCGCCAAAATATGCCACTCAAACCTACCCCGCAAAACATCAAAACGGTAACCTTCGTTCCCGTGCAAAAGGCCCAAATGCCCGTGACGATGCCGTGCGAAACCCCTGCGCGTTTCTGTCTACCGGCACCTTGAAAAGCTGTGTTTCTCTGTCAGGCTCAAGGTGTATCGTCGCATCGCATCGCACTGCTTGTGTCAGACCTTGCCCCTCTTGCATATTCTTCAGTACAATTCCTCCCATCCCTTGTGCGCTTCTGACACAAACAATCTCCGCTAGAATCAATTCGGCGGAAAACAATGCGAGTGCATTGCGCGCAGAAGAACACCCTTGCAGTGCCAATTGGATTTTTTGTCAGTCGTCAGATCCGGGTTCCCATCCAAAGCAACCCAGATTTTGAAGAGTTCGAGTTATTTTCGCTCTGCTAGGCCCCGTTCCCGTATCCACCGAGATTTCCTCCCAGTCAAACCGTGTGCCTTAAAGACCTACCGATTCACTTTCGTGTTTACGGAAACAAAACCCTGTAAACCCCGTGGGTTTCAAAGATCACAATTCCGTTGTAGAAAGGAAAATCGGCTAAACAGCTACCCATCAAAGTGTGTTTTAGGGGTCACTATCTAGAACATACGGATAGCTACCGTCCACATTTGTGGCTCAGAGCGGACTGAGGGCGCGCTCTGCGCTCGGGTCAAGGCCCGAGGCAGAACTTCTGGGCAACAGTTACTGTATCCGGACACGATGAATCAAAGTTGGGGCTTGGGCGATCTTCCCCGCATAACTGATGCCTGGAAGTTTTGCCTCGGGACGTCCCCCGAGCGCGAGCACGCCCTGACCAGAGTCGCAAACCATCGTCGTGTAGCATTTATGGGTCGCATGCTCTCGCAATGGACTGCAAGGGGACGACTGCAAGCAAAGCAGGTCCCCTGCTGTCAGGCAACAACTCCCCGAAGCGCATCGGCATTTTCCATGGTCCGCAACACCACAAGGGATTGTGACCCCATCTCCAGCAGCACCGTCATATATCTGTCTGTAACTTATTTCACCGTACTATCACCCTTGCTTCCCTCTCTTCGCCACACCCCACCATCTTCATCTTCATTGACTCGTCTTGAGACTCAGAATCTGTTTTGCAGGACGACTTATGTCCTTACTCCGGATTTCCTTTCTGTAGACCTACTGTATCAGAATCTGTACTCCATGGTTGTTGTCAGGCGTTGTTTGGTACTGTAGCCAAGGTATCGGCGTTGGGTTGTGTTGTGCTGCGGTGGTATTGTGAATCGTTCTTGTGGTTTGCTGCTCGAGTTGTAGGTCTAGTGAGCGATGAGGGTGGTAACTAGGCTTCGACCATTTTTTGTGAGAGGTGTGTGACCTCTTCCAAGATTCCGTTCTCGAAATGGTGATGCTCGTACGATTCCGTCCTACGTTTCCTACGCTACCTCAGCGACTTTCTCACTGCGATGTCTAAGCGACAATGTTACAGCTTCCAAATTACTTCTGTCTAACCCTGCTTACACATTCATCTCCAGTCGAGTCCTGGCCGTAGAAAACGAGCGGAGTCGCTAGTCCAGATTCTCGCCTTTCATCTCAAAACAATAAACGCTTTATTCTCTAGGATGTTCTTGGTGTCGCCACCGACCTTTCGAGATTTGATCCTGAGCGATTCTGGAGTGCTGCTATCCCTACAGCTGCGTCCATGGGAGGCTGTCTGGGAACCAGCAAGAAGCACCCGCCACAGCAAGCGACTTTAGATCAGGTTTGTTTGACCTTGCCTTTTAGCCTCTCCTCTTAGCCTTCCCTTGTTCACCACTCTCTCTTTCGCGAATCTGCTTTTGAGTCGGCTCAAAAGGCTCGCCTTGTTCCTCAGTAACCCTCGCGCGAATCAGAAAGAGATCCAGGCATATTTTACACGCACAAGCACGATTCGGATCTCTTCCTGGCGATAGTTTCGGGTTAGGTTCGCGCCGCTTGTGCAGGTCAGGAGCGGGTGCAGGTTTGTTTTTGAGGCGCCTCAAAAATAGACTCCTCACGGGTGCAGGTCTGTCTGTCAGTAAATGGTGGATGACCGAGACAGACATGCGCCGTCTATGCAGCAGTCTCGAAATCCTACGAATCAGTAGCAGCAGTCGCGAAATCCCTGTCGCATAGATCGCGAATCCACGAATCTCGTGTCCCATTCACTGATCAAGTGTCCGATCCGTTCCTTGTCGTCTACGTCCGATCCTCCGTCACGTATTCTGACTGGAAACAGGGTTCCTCCGTCACGCATTCTGACTGAAAACAGGGTTAGATCCTTCGTCACGCATTCTGACTGAAAACAGGGTTGGATCCCCCCTCAAGCATTCACAAAAACACCGTTTGGTACTCCTTTGTTATCCGTTCCTCGCAGAAAAGCGAGGATGAAGCCCCGGCCAGGCCTCGGCCCACTCGCCCTACTCGCAGTCGGGCGGAAGCAGCAGCTGCCGCGTGTCTCCCTCCCCGCTCACCCAAGCACTACTACCGGAAAACGGATGACGTCACGGCGAGAACGAATGACGTCACGGCGAGAACGGATGACGTCACGACAGCAGCCGCTGGAGTCGATCATGGCAGGCAGAATGGGTCGAATGACGTCACGCCGAACGGAGAGCAGAGCGCTGTTGAGAAAAGGCCCTTGGATCGGGATGGTGCTGCGGTGAGGCTTTCACAAGTGATGCTTTCACCCTAAGTGCGGCTTTTACCCTAAGTGAGGCTTTCACCCTAAGTGAGGCTTTCACCCTAAGTGAGGCTTTCACCCTAAGCGAGCCTTTCACCCTACGTGAGGCTTTCATACTAAGTGAGGCTTTCACCCTAAGCGAGCCTTTCACCCTACGTGAGGCTTTCATACTAAGTGAGGCTTTCACCCTAAGTGAGCCTTTTACCCTAGGTGAGCCTTTCACCCTAAGTGGGGCTTTCACCCTAAGCGAGCCTTTCACCCTAAGTGAGGCTTTCACCCTAAGTGAGGCTTTCACCCTAAGTGGGGCTTTCTCTTTCAGTGAGGCTTTCACCCTAATCGTCTGGATCCTGCTGCACTGCGCTCGCTTGAATCTGACACAGGGTGTGATCCTCCTTCACGCATTGAGTGTTACCTACCTACCAAAGCTTCGCTATTGAGTGTTCCTCCTCTCAATTTCTTCTTCACCCTCTCTCCCCGCCTCCCAATCCGCCCCCACTCCGCCCCCCTCTTGCCCCAACCCTCTTCCCCACCCTCGTTATTTCTTCTTGTAAAGGGAGCTGTGCTTGCATCGGGAACAACCCCAACATCCCCAGCGCCACAGCACCGCCAGCAGCAGCAGCAGCAGCAGTCACCGTCGCCACAGCACCGCCAGCAGCAGCCGCAAACGTCGCCACGTCCCCAAGCACGCTCGCCTGAACCCACGAGATGGCCGCCTGAGCCCCCGTTAGAGTCACATTTTGGAAAAGTGACAGCCAGAGCGGCAGTGAGAGAGGGTGAAAGACGACTTTCAGAGGTGCCTGGAGAGGAAACTCGGGAGACGAACGTTGCTTCGCGAGGGACGAGCTCGAATGTAGGGACGTTTCCCAAAGAGAGACGGGGGATGGGGGTGGAGGTAAGGGCTTGTCGGGAGGGAGGGGTCTGGATGGGGAGGAGGGTAATGAAATGGGCTTTAGCAGCAGCCGTGTTGGTAGTAGTGAGGCTGGGATAGGGCGGGTCGATCTGGAGAAAGAAGGAGGACGCGTAGAGGAAGCAGTTGAAGCAGCAGCAGCAGCAGCGCGAGAAGCAGCAGCTGGAGCTGGCGCAGCAGCAGCAGCAGCAGCTGAAGCAACAGCCAGAGCAGAGGCGGGCGAAACGTCTCCGTCGAAGCAACGGGCCTCTGCAGCAGGAGAAGCAAGAGCAGGCGCAGGAGCAGCGGCAGCATCAGCCACCGCAGCCGCAGCAGCAGCAGCAGCATTAGCAGTAGGAAAAGTACCCGGGCCAGTAGCCGTGACGAAGCTCCCAGTGCCAGAGTTCTTTCCAGATTCCACCGACCTCGCGGATGCGTGGGTGAGCCGGCCGCCCATCGACGAGGGGAAGCCCATCCGGTGGCGCAAGGGCGAGCTGATCGGTGCGGGCGCGTACGGGTGCGTGTACATGGGGCTCAACCTGGAGTCCGGGGAGCTGCTGGCCGTGAAGCAGGTGCTCATTCCGAGCAGCTCCACCACCAAGGAGAAGGCGCAGGTGAGACAGAGAAGGTTTGATAGGCGCGGGTGCACATGGGTGCGAATGGGTGCGAATGGGTGCGAATGGGTGCGAATGGGTGTGAATGGGTGCGAATGGGTGTGAATGGGTGCGTGTACATGGGGCTCAGTTGCTGGCCGTGAAGCAGGTGCTTATTCTCAGCAGCTCCACCACCAATGAGAAGGCGCAGGTGAGACGGAGAAGGGGTTTGTGGGTTTGAGGCGGGCGGGCTGATAGGGGCGGGCGGACTTGCATGGGTGCGTGAGAATGAGAAGGCGCAGGTGAGAGACACAAGGGTTGCCTGGGGTTGAGGTGAAGGAATAAGGCGAGTGGGTTGTGTGGGGCGTGTATGGGTGCTTTTGAGTGGGGTGACCTTTGAGTCGACTCACAACAGTGTCTGGGTCTGAGGCGCCTGAAAGTGTGAGCTGATAGGGGCGGGCGCGCTTGGAAGGTGCATGTGCATGAGCATGATTGTGCTCGATGCTCTCTGAAGCATTGCACTCATCAAAGGACTGGAGATTACTTTCCAGTCGACTCAAGAGTCACCGTGCTGCTGCCTCTCTTCTCATGTGCGCAATCTTTTCTATGCCTTCCGGAGTACAAGGGACCGGTTGTTAGAGGCCTCAAAAGCTGATTTGTGCTTCGTCTCTCCTCATGTGCGCAATGCTTTCGATGCTCCCAGGAGTACATCAAGGGACTGGAGGCAGAAGTGGCAGTGCTGAGGAATCTGTCGCACCCCAACATTGTGGTAAGGCGCACCCCAACATTGTGGTAAGGCGCACCCCAACATTGTGGTAAGGCGCACCCCAACATTGTGGTAAGGCACACCCCAACATTGTGGTAAGGCGCACCCCAACATTGTGGTAAGGCGCACCCCAACATTGTGGTAAGGCGCACCCCAACATTGTGGTAAGGCGCACCCCCTGTAAGCCCCCAGCATTGTGGTAAGGCGCACCCCAGCATTGTGGTAAGGCGCACCCCAGCATTGTGGTAAGGCGCACCCCAACATTGTGGTAAGGCGCACCCCAACATTGTGGTAAGGCGCACCCCAACATTGTGGTAAGGCGCACCCAGCATTGTGGTAAGGCGCACCCCAGCATTGTGGTAAGGCGCACCCCAGCATTGTGGTAAGGCGCACCCCACATTGTGGTAAGGCGCACCCCAACATTGTGGTAAGGCGCACCCCAACATTGTGGTAAGGCGCACCCCAACATTGTGGTAAGGCGCACCCCAGCATTGTGGTAAGGCGCACCCCAACATTGTGGTAAGGCGCACCCCAACATTGTGGTAAGGCGCACCCCAACATTGTGGTAAGGCGCACCCCAACATTGTGGTAAGGCGCACCCCACATTGTGGTAAGGCGCACCCCAGCATTGTGGTAAGGCGCACCCCAACATTGTGGTAAGGCGCACCCCAACATTGTGGTAAGGCGCACCCCAACATTGTGGTAAGGCGCACCCCAGCATTGTGGTAAGGCGCACCCCAGCATTGTGGTAAGGCGCACCCCAGCATTGTGGTAAGGCGCACCCCAGCATTGTGGTAAGGCGCACCCCACATTGTGGTAAGGCGCACCCCAACATTGTGGTAAGGCGCACCCCAACATTGTGGTAAGGCGCACCCCAACATTGTGGTAAGGCGCACCCCACATTGTGGTAAGGCGCACCCCAGCATTGTGGTAAGGCGCACCCCAGCATTGTGGTAAGGCGCACCCCAGCATTGTGGTAAGGCGCACCCCAACATTGTGGTAAGGCGCACCCCAACATTGTGGTAAGGCGCACCCCAACATTGTGGTAAGGCGCACCCCAACATTGTGGTAAGGCGCACCCCAACATTGTGGTAAGGCGCACCCCAACATTGTGGTAAGGCGCACCCCAACATTGTGGTAAGGCGCACCCCAACATTGTGGTAAGGCGCACCCCAACATTGTGGTAAGGCGCACCCCAGCATTGTGGTAAGGCGCACCCCAGCATTGTGGTAAGGCGCACCCCAACATTGTGGTAAGGCGCACCCCAACATTGTGGTAAGGCGCACCCCAGCATTGTGGTAAGGCGCACCCCAGCATTGTGGTAAGGCGCACCCCAACATTGTGGTAAGGCGCACCCCAGCATTGTGGTAAGGCGCACCCCAGCATTGTGGTAAGGCGCACCCCAACATTGTGGTAAGGCGCACCCCAGCATTGTGGTAAGGCGCACCCCAGCATTGTGGTAAGGCGCACCCCAGCATTGTGGTAAGGCGCACCCCAGCATTGTGGTAAGGCGCACCCCAGCATTGTGGTAAGGCGCACCCCAACATTGTGGTAAGGCGCACCCCAACATTGTGGTAAGGCGCACCCCAACATTGTGGTAAGGCGCACCCCAACATTGTGGTAAGGCGCACCCCAGCATTGTGGTAAGGCGCACCCCAGCATTGTGGTAAGGCGCACCCCAGCATTGTGGTAAGGCGCACCCCAGCATTGTGGTAAGGCGCACCCCAGCATTGTGGTAAGGCGCACCCCAGCATTGTGGTAAGGCGCACCCCAACATTGTGGTAAGGCGCACCCCAACATTGTGGTAAGGCGCACCCCAACATTGTGGTAAGGCGCACCCCAACATTGTGGTAAGGCGCACCCCAACATTGTGGTAAGGCGCACCCCAGCATTGTGGTAAGGCGCACCCCAGCATTGTGGTAAGGCGCACCCCAGCATTGTGGTAAGGCGCACCCCAGCATTGTGGTAAGGCGCACCCCAGCATTGTGGTAAGGCGCACCCCAACATTGTGGTAAGGCGCACCCCAACATTGTGGTAAGGCGCACCCCAACATTGTGGTAAGGCGCACCCCAACATTGTGGTAAGGCGCACCCCACATTGTGGTAAGGCGCACCCCAGCATTGTGGTAAGGCGCACCCCAGCATTGTGGTAAGGCGCACCCCAACATTGTGGTAAGGCGCACCCCAGCATTGTGGTAAGGCGCACCCCAGCATTGTGGTAAGGCGCACCCCAGCATTGTGGTAAGGCGCACCCCAGCATTGTGGTAAGGCGCACCCCAGCATTGTGGTAAGGCGCACCCCAGCATTGTGGTAAGGCGCACCCCAGCATTGTGGTAAGGCGCACCCCAACATTGTGGTACGTCGGCAGCCTGTAGGAGTATGTCGAGGCACCTTACAGAACAGAAGTCGCAGGACTGAGGAATAGCGCTGTCTAGGCACAGCAAAGGCAGAGGAGAGGAGGCGCTAAACATTTTCCAGCAAACATATTTCTCATTGCTCCTGCTGCTTGTCCTGGCTGTTCCTGCTTCATCTGCTCGCATGCATATCGCAGCCCTATCCGGGCACGACAAGGGAAGGGGAAGCGCTCAACATCTTCTAGCATGCATACTTCTCTTCTCATTGCTCCTGCTCCCGCTGCTTGCTCTGGATGTTCCTCTATTATCTGCTCTCACATATATCGCAGCGCTATCTGGGCACGGCAAGGGAGGAGGAGGCGCTCAACATCTTCCTCGAGTTCGTTCCTGGAGGGTCCATTGCCTCGCTGCTCAACAAGTTTGGGTGCTTCACGGAGAAGGTGAGGCGGTGGCAGCAGTGGGACTCTCAACACATGGGTTTGTCCCGGTAGACTCTGGCAAGGGAAGGCACGGCAAGGGAAGAGGAGAGTGTGTCCCGGAGATGTCCATCGGCGCACTGCTCAACAAGTTTGGATGCTTCACAGAGAAGGTGAGGCGGTGGCAGCTAAGTTGGCCTTAGCGCATGGGTGTCTCAACGCAGCACTATCTAGCCACGGCAAGGGAAGAGGAGAGTTTGTCCCGGGAGGGTCCATCCATTGCCTCTCTGCTTGACAAGTTTGGATGCGTCTCAGAGAAGGTGTGGCGAAATCCGCAGCAGTGGCTGTCTGCTAACGTTTTCAGTGCCTCCCTGCTCGACAAGTTTGGCTGCTTCACGGAAAAGGTGAGACAGGCCTGGCAGCTGGAACAACAGGCCTTCTCTTGGCTTTTCTCGCACTCCAGGATTTGAACCCTCGGCTCACAATCGAAATCAAAGCATCGAGCTGCCTCTCGCTTTCTATGACTATGTTTCTTCTTATTTGGCGCTTGTACTGTCTCTGGCAGGTGATCCGGATGTACACGCGGCAGCTCATGACAGGCCTCAGCTACCTTCACTACAATCACATCATGCACCGCGACATCAAGGTGAGAGATTCCCGATAGCCAGGCACTCAATGCTCTGAGGCGGCTCAAACCAGGCCTGGGTTACCTTCACTACAATCACATCATGCTCCGCCACATCAAAGTGCTAATAGTTGCATCCGTTGCACTACGTCTTACTGTGCTGCACTTTCTCCTCTGTGCTTCTACTGTCCACGTCTACGCCTCGCAGGGCGCCAACATCCTGGTGGACAACACGGGGTGCATCAAGCTGGCGGATTTCGGAAGGCCCATTTTTTGTCATGGACGGACCCCCCCTCATGTTTGTTCTTCACGTTCCCCCCTGCCCGCAGGGCGCCAACATCCTGGTGGACAACAAGGGGTGCATCAAGCTGGCAGACTTTGGCCATTGACTCCCACTCTCCATGCTCATCCTGTAACCCTGTAACCCCCCTCTCCCCCGCAGGGCGCCAACATCCTGGTGGACAACAAGGGGTGCATCAAGCTGGCTGATTTCGGCGCGTCGAGGAAGCTGGCGGATCTGGCGACGATGAGCGGGTACAAGTCCATGAAGGGCACGCCCTACTGGATGGCGCCGGAAGTGATAAAGCAGACGGGCCATGGCAGGTGGGTGGGTGTGTGTTTGTGACTTGGTATCACTTAGACATCTCACATCTGGCGACGATGAGCGGGTACAAGTCCAAGAAGGGCACGCCCTACTGGATGGCGCCGGAAGTGATCAAGCAGACGGGCCATGGCAGGTGGGTGGGTGTGTGTTTGTGACTTTGCACCTCTTAGACATCTCACATCTGGCGACGATGAGCGGGTACAAGTCCAAGAAGGGCACGCCCTACTGGATGGCGCCGGAAGTGATCGAGCAGACGGGCCATGGCAGGTGGGTGGGTGTGTGTTTGTGACTTTGCACCTCTTAGACATCTCACATCTGGCGACGATGAGCGGGTACAAGTCCAAGAAGGGCACGCCCTACTGGATGGCGCCGGAAGTGATCAAGCAGACGGGCCATGGCAGGTGGGTGGGTGTGTGTTTGTGACTTTGCACCTCTTAGACATCTCACATCTGGCGACGATGAGCGGGTACAAGTCCAAGAAGGGCACGCCCTACTGGATGGCGCCGGAAGTGATCGAGCAGACGGGCCATGGCAGGTGGGTGGGTGTGTGTTTGTGACTTTGCACCTCTTAGACATCTCACATCTGGCGACGATGAGCGGGTACAGGTCCATGTAGGGCACGCGCTACTGGATGGCGCCGGAAGTGATCAAGCAGACGGGCCACGGTAGGGGCGTGCTCTGTGGCCCTGTGGGTGTGTGTTCTCTGTAGGAACGCGGAAACCTGGAGTGAGGCGTGCACTGTCATAGTCATTGATTCTTGCTCTCACGAGCGCAACAGGCAACCCCCCCGCACCGCACCCCCTTTCTTGCCCTCGCTCTGCACGGCCACTAACCTTTGGAGTGTGGCGTGCACAATCATGGAGTCTTGTTTCGAGGAGTGTTAAAACACCCCCCCCAACCCCTCCTCTCTCTGTCTCTCTCTCTGCAGGCCGGATGGCATCTGGAATGTGGCGTGGACGGTCATTCATTGGGTCTTGCTGTGAGGAGCCTTGAAGCACCCCCCCGCCCCCCTGGCCCCTATCTCTTGGCAGGCCGGCGGACATCTGGAGCGTGGCGTGCACTGTCATTGAGATGGCAACAGGCAAGCCGCCCTGGAGCGAATTCCTCTCGCAGGTATGCTCTGTTCTGTTCCGTTCTCTTCCCACAGGGGTCTATTTTTGAGGCGCCTCAAAAATAGACGCCTCAAAAGCAGGTATGCTCTGTTCTGTTCCCACAGGGAAGGGTGTGGGGTGTGGCGGAATGTTTTTTCAGGGTGTTTTTGAGAATTCTCAAAAACACCCTGCAATTCTCAAAAACACCTCTCGCAGGTATGCTCTGTTCTGTTGCCACAGGGAAGGTTTGGGGTGTGGCGGAATGAGGGGTATTCTCTGCTTCCTCAGGTCCCTTGATCCTTCCCTGACCTCCCAAGCCTCTCAACCTTCTCTCCAGTGTCCTTTGTCTCATCCCCCCTATGCTTGTATGCCTCTCCCCCGCCCTCTGCAGGTGTCAGCCCTGTTCCACATAGCCCGGTCCAGGGGCCCGCCCCCTCATTCCAGGCCACTTCAAACCCCCTGAACGCGTTACCCATCCTTCCTTCCTAGCATGTATCCCTGGTCACTCTCCCTCTGCAGATGTCAGCACTGTTCCACATAGCACAGAGTAGGGGGCCGACCCTCTTTCCAGAATTCAGGCCGATTCAATCCCCCGGAACGCGCTACCCATCCTTCCCTCGCATCTTATCCCTGGCCACTCCCCCGCCCTCTCCAGGTGTCGGCCCTGTTCCACATAGCGCAGTCCAAGGGCCCGCCCCTCATTCCAGAACACCTCTCCCCAGAGGCCAAGGACTTTCTGCTGCTGTGTTTCCACCGGTGAGCCTAGCACAACCGTTTTGCACACCGGTAGCCTTGCATCAGTCATCCCGTCCCAGCATAGCGCAAGCAATGAAAGGCCTGCCCCCAGATTCCATGCCACCTTTCCCCAGAGGCCAAGGACTTTCTGCTCCTCTGCTTCCACCGGTGAGCCTAGCACACATGCTTTTGCACCGCTTGGGCCGTTTGGGGGCTTTTCCCCCATAACCATGCCCTCTCTGCACCCGCCTCATTTGCCGCATCTTGCTTAGCATCCGCCCTCTTCTTCCCCTTCGCATTGTGGTTTGTGTGGTTGTATGCCTGACATGTCATGTGTGTGTTTGTGTGTGCGACTTTATCACATCACCTATATCCAGTGACCCCAACAAGCGCCCAAGTGCAGCTGAGCTACTCAAGGTAAGCCTTTCGGCCAGTACCTGTGCCTGGCATGCTTAGGTATTCCTCTCCCTTGGTTACCTTTTGCGCGTCAATCTCATTTCGCAACTGAATACTTTTTTGCCAGCTTTCAGGTCACCATTCTCGATGCCCCTTCATCCCCTCCCTGTCCAGTCAACCCCATGTTGGCCTGATGCTCTCTAACTTACCTCTCTTGACTATTTCAGCACCCTTTTCTGACAGTCACGCCCTCCCCTAGTGATGACAATTTGGCCACACACCCTTCGTTTCCTCCCGTCCTTCTCTTGCCCCTCTCATCCTTCTCTTGCCCCTCTCATCCTTCTCTTGCCCCTCTCATCCTTCTCTTGCCCCTCTCATCCTTCTCTTGCCCCTCTCGTCCTTCTCTTGCCCCTCTCATCCTTCTCTTGCCCCTCTCATCCTTCTCTTGCCCCTCTCATCCTTCTCTTCCTCCTCCCTCTGCTACCCCCCATCCTGACGCAGCACCCCTTTCTGACAGACATGCCCTCCCCAGGGGCTGATGGACTGACCACACCCCCTCGCTCCACCACCACCACTGCTACCACAGCAGCAGCAGAAGCAGCAGCGGTAACTGCAACAGCAGCAACTGGGGCAGCAGCAGCAGCAGCAGCAGTAGCAGCAGTGACGCCTACAAAAGCAGGAGCGCAGGCATCTACAACTGCAGGCGCCCAACTCTCTCCCACTGCTCGTGGGAGGTCGCAGGGACCAGCTGCTGCTGCTGCTGCTGCTGCCACACTGACTGCCGCTGAAATGTCCCTCAGTGACTTAGGAGAGGTAAGTGTCGGTGTCAGTGTCATTTTCAGTGTCGGTGTCAGTGTCAGTGTCAGTGTTGTCCCTCGTGTCAAACCACGGTGCGTTTTGAGGCAACTCAGCAGTCACACCAACAGTTGCAAAATCGTGTCTCGGTGACTCAAGAGAGGTCAGTCCCGGTCCCGGCCCTCGTTTACCTGTTCGTTTTCTGGGGCACTAGTGGCGTCTAATACCTGGCTCCTGGAATGGCAGCTGTTGCATTTGCCACAGATCCACTTCTTATCCTTGTCGCATCGACCCTTATCCTTGTCGCATCGACCCTTGTCCTTGTTGCATCGACCCCTGCCGTTGTCGCATTGACCCCTGTCCTAGTTGCATCGACCCCTGTCCTTGTCGCATTGACCCCTGTCTTGTTGCATCGACCGTGTTTTGTTTCGAGGCGCCTTAAAACGAGACACGCATCGACCCCTGTGTTTCCTCTCTGCCCCTCCCTTAAATCCCCCCAACCCTTTCAGGTACCGGCCTCAACCACTGACCTGGAGGACCGCTGGCATACCACCCAGCCAGGCATTTCTATCCCTGCCGCATCCACCTCAGCGTCTTCTCTCTGCACCTCTCTTCCACCCACCCACCCTTTCAGGTACCTGCCTCAACCACTGACCCTCAAGCCTGCCCCTCCCTCGCATCTACTCACAATCGCCAGCACGCTCCTAGCAGCCCCCCGCCTGCTGGTGCTGACACCCCCACATCACGCCTAGCTCACCCAACCACCCCCACCTCGCGCCTAACACCCTACAGCACCCATGTCTCGCACCTAACTCACGATAACGCTCCAGCCCAGCCTTTAGAAAGTGACTCGCCTGATTCGTCTGCTGCCTTCTCCATAAGCTCACTCCTCTCACTCCCCTTACCCACCCGATAGAGGCTGGGGAGCCAAACCCGTTGCTGTCCAGATCAAAGGGACCAGGGCCGGGGCAGGAAAAGCAGGGGCAGAGGCAGGACGAACAGGGGAAGGGAGACGGTGGGCTGCGTATGTCAAGGGCTCACCTGATGTCAGTGACTAGCACGGGATGGCAGCCAGGAACCTTCTCCGAGCTTTCTGATCTCTCCTTTCGAGTGAGTAATGTGCTATGTGGCAAGTTAAGGGAGTGCTCTCTCATCTCATCTGTATCCCTCAGCCGCACGTCTTGTACCCCCACCACGCTCTCAGATTGGCTTTAACCTCTTGGAAACAACCCCCCCCCACATTGGCACCCTCTCCCCCCTCTCAGAGCGACTTCAACCCCATGGAAGAGCCGTCTCACAACGACTTCCTGGGCTCAAACGTGACAGCAGCGTGCGGGCACAGCCGGGTAGAAGGCAGCACATTTATGCTCCCTCCTCCGCCCCCACCCTCTCCCTCCCCTCAGAGCGATTTCAACCCCATGGAAGAGCCCTCTCACAACGACCCGCTATGCTCGTACATGACAGCAGCATGCGGGCACAGCAGGGTAGAGCGCGTGGCAGCGAATTTTTACTCTCTTCTCTGCCCCACCCTCTCCCCCCTCAGAGCGACTTCAACCCCATGGAGGAGCCCTCTCACAACGACCCGCTAGGCTCGTACGTGACAGCAGCATGTGGGCACAGCGGGGGGGGCGTCTCAACTGCCTGCACTGAAGACGAGGTTACAGGACCTCTTAGGGAGAACGTGAGGGCGGATAGCGGGTCCCACGACGATCTGAACAGTGATTCTGTGGGCGGCACAAGCAGTGGGGTGGTGGGAGTGGGGGGAGAGGGGAGAGTGGTGAGGGAGGGGGGAGAGATGGAGGGAGCGGGAAAGGGCAAGGGCGATGGGGAAGTGGAGGGGCGGGGGAGGGAGGACGCATGGGAGGGAGGCATGTCTGGTGGAGGTAGGGAGGGGCAGGAGAGGGATGGGGATGACCGTGTGGCGGTTATGGTCAGCCGGGGCAGCGGGGGCGGGCAGGAACGGAAGGAAGGGCAGCAACGGAGGGAAGGGCAGCATATGCTGCTGGTCGAGGGGTCAAAGGACGAGGAAGGCGTGAGGATGACTCGGGCCCTGAAGTCAGCTGGGGGGCTGAGACCGCCTGAGGGGCTCAGGCCATCTCTCCCCCAGCTGGACTTATCCCTAGCAATGTCGCATGGGCAGGGGGTAGGACTGGGGGGTCTGCATGGCGTGGAAGAGGATGGGGATGGGACTTGCGAGGTGAGGACGAGGGAGAGTGAGGGAGAGAGGAGGGGGGTGTGCGGGAGAGTGGGGTGTATTGGGGGGGAGGGAGAGCAGTGAGGTGTCGCTGGCAGGGGTGCCTGTGTGGACAGGGATGGAGGTGGGGGATTCGGTGTGGGGGAGGTAGGCACAGGGGCACTGCCCAGCAGCACCAGCAGCAGCACCAGCAGCAGCAGCAGCAGCAGTTTGTGAGAGGTGGTGTGAGCAACAGTAACGCCATTTCGGAGGAGAGGATAAGAGATTTCCTGCAGGAGAAGGCGGAGGGGCTGCAGCAGCTGCAGACGCCTCTGATGGCCGAAACAGAGGCACCCAGACAGGCCTCCGACATGCCACATGGCGCTTCAGGGTTGGCCGGTTCTAGTGCAGAAGCGGAGCCCTCATGTGGTCCGTTTGAGGAAAGAGAGGAGGCAAATGGGGCTCAGGTAGAGAAGCAAGCAGCACGTGTAGGGGACGGTACACGCAGGGTGGCTTCTCCATCCAACCAAAAGCAGACAGGGGTAGGGACAGGGGTAGGACAGACCATCCCAGGTCAGGGGCAGGGGCAGGGGCAGGGACAAGCACCTGTAAGTAGCCGGCCGGCCGGGCTGACTCCCTCTCCACGCCGCCATCGGGAGTCGTCTCCTGCCCGGCGAAAGAGAATACTCAAAGAGAGCTTTGCTCTTCCCCGGGACCTGTCCCCTTCAGCCCGCCTGCAGCCACAAGCACCAGCAGCAGCAGCAGCAGCAGCGGCGCCAGCAGTGGCTCCAGCAGCTGCAGCACCAGCAGTGGCTTTCTCCTCCCCCTCCACTGCCACTCAGAGCCCCTCTGTCTCCCTCCCTTCCCCCTCCCTCCCCTCCCCCTCCCGCCGCTCCGCCTCCCCCTCATCCTCCTCCTCCACTGCCGCAGATCCCACCACCTCCCTTCCCGGATCACGCACTCCATCAGCCAATCAGCTATCTCCAACCCTGGGCCAGTCACGTCACCATCCTACCAGAGCTTTGAAGGCTCGCTAGCAGGGAAACCGGGAGAAGCAGCAGTACGGGGGGCTGGGAGTGGGGGCAGGGGAGGGGAAGGGGGACTGGGCGGGCACCTACTCTTTCGCCTCGCCCGCCGGGATTGTCAGTAGCAAGTCGGGCAGCTGGGTGAACAGCAGTGAAGGCGACTTTTCCGGGCGGCAGCACGCGGGCAGCTTTGAGAGTTTCGGGCAGGAGGGGAGGATTGTGAGACAGGGGAGTGGGGCGTTACACAGGGGGGGAGGGGCAAGCATGGGGGGAAGCAGGGTATCTGTTGGGGTAGGGGAGGGATAGGAGGAGACTAGGAGGGGTAGGAGGAGGGGGGAGGGTGCTGAGTGGTGGGGAGGGATACCTGTGCAAAGGAGTGGATCAGGGGGTAGCCTCTTTGCGAGTGGAGTGGGGGCGGAATGTACCCCTCTGGAGGCAATGTCTTGGCGCTGCTGCATGATAGCACTGACAGGTGAGCACTGGTGGTTTAATGATGGTTGTAGGTTTCCTGTCTGCTTTTCCGACCGCTTGCTAACATGCCCCTGACTCAACCCTGGTGAGTCTATATTTGAGGCGCCTCAAAAATAGACTCCTGTTTTGAGGCGCCTCAAAAATAGACTCCTGTTTTGAGGCGCCTCAAATATAGACTCCTGTTTTGAGGCGCCTCAAAAATAGACTCCTGTTTTGAGGCGCCTCAAAAATAGACTCCTGTTTTGAGGCGCCTCAAAAATAGACTCCTGTTTTGAGGCGCCTCAAAAATAGACCCCTGTTTTGAGGCGCCTCAAAAATAGACCCCTGTTTTGAGGCGCCTCAAAAATAGACTCCTGTTTTGAGGCGCCTAAAAAATAACATGCCCCTGACTCAACCCTTCTCTGTCCTCTGGCCCACTGCTGTCATGTGCTGACTGCCGTCACCTGCAGCTTTGTTGGCGACTCGGGGGATCTCAAGCGGCAGCAGTGGGAGGCGGAGCTGCAGCAGGAGCTGGCGCTGCAGAGAGGTGGGCTCGGAGGTGGGGATAGAGGGGTATACAGATGCCTTATACATTTTGGCAGCAGTGGGAGGCGGAGCTACAGCAGGAGCTGGCACTGCAGAGAGGTGGGCTCGGATAAGGGTTAGGGTTGGGGTAAGGGTTAGGCTGAGGGTGAGGCGAGGGCTGGGTGTGGGGCACGGGTTTTTGAGGGCAGGCAGCTCTGTATGTACTGCTGATCCCAAGCGGCAGCAGTGGGAGGCAGAGCTACAGCAGGAGCTGGCGCTACAGCAGGAGCTGGTGGTAGACCTGAAAACGAGTAGACTATATTCGAATTTGTATTCGAATTCGGACGAATTTCAAATACAAATCGAGTCTATGTGGCTGTTCAAACTCGCCAAAACTCGACTTCCAATATTCGACTCGAATTCGTATTCGCCCAGCCATAACTCGAGTACTCGTTTTAGTACTCGAGTTTGGACATACCTGGCTCCTACTAGCATTAATGCCTAGCATCAAAGGTCCTAATGCTTTCGATGCTACGCAATGCTGCTAAAAAGCTTCACTTGCCACTTGTACAACCCCTCCAATTTCTTGTGCAAAACCTGCAAGCACGGCAACGCCCAAAAACTGACAACAAACTCCAAGGGTAACTTCACAAAGCTTGTAAACGCTCATATGCCCAAAACTCGAGTGCATTCGTATTCGACTCGGACTCGACTCATTCGACTCGAATTCGTATTCGAATTCCAAGCACAACTCGAACAAATAATTTGTATCGTGATATTCGACAATTATTCGAATGTGGAACTCGAACTCGAATTCGTATTCGGTTCTTCAGGTCTAGCTGGTGGGAGTGGAGGTGGGAGTAGACGAGTTTTTAGCCTTTCTCGTGCAGGCCTGTGCATGCCTTCCAACTCGAAAGTGGTGTTTGTCCCTCAACATGCATGTGCATGCCTTCCCACCCCCCATTCCCCCTGCACCACGCACAGAGGAGAAGCGCAAGCAGATGTCGCGATCCAGCAGCAACACCAGAGCGGGCGAGATGACTTTTGACTCGACTAAAAAACGCCTCGCAACACCCCCCCCTCTTCTCTTCCTCCCCCCCCCCCCTCCCCCCTCCTCCTCACCGCACAGAGGAGAAGCGCAAGCAGATGTCGCGATCCAGCAGCAACACCAGTGCGGCCGGCAGCACTGGCACAAGCATCAGCGCCAGTGCAAGCATTAGTGCCAGTGCGAGCGCCAGTGCGAGCGCCAGTGCTAGCGGGTCAAGAGAGTTCTTTGGACCTCCCGGCTCCCTCTCCTCCCCTCGCCGGAACTCACCTTTCTAGCCGCCAGAAGCAATCTATGGTAAGCCCCCGAAATAGCCTCAAAATCCCTGCAAAGTCCAAGTCTTGACGTCCTATTCTAACCCACACCTTCCATCCACCTGCCCACTCAACGAGGCTAATGCCGCACTAACCGGTCCTCTTCTTCACCCTGCAGCAGCCGCAGCAGCAGTAGCCATCTCAACTCCATTCTTGATCCAAACCCCAAACCACCTAACCCAGCCCAGCACACCTAATTGGTTGGTGACACCTACCTAGCTCGCATATCCCTTGCTTGTGCTGATCCCAGGTTCTTATCTAGAGGCTGTTGGTTTGCAATGCTACTTATGTGTACTAGGATGGTTGGTTGCACAAAATGAAAAAAAAAATAAAAAAATTTTTAAGCGTTTACGCTTTTTAAATTGTGTATTGTGAATGTGAAGCTGCTTGTAACGCAATGTTTGGCATCATCTAAGCGCGCTATTCGCCCTTCTCCAACTACAAAAGGGGGTTGGTTGGAGGTCATTCTTCCACCCACGTTTTTCATTTTTCGCAGCTCAAGTTCAATTCCCGCCCACCCAACCCATCGCATCTACCTACTTCGCCCACACGTCCCCAACACCATGCTCGACTCCGTGGATCGCCAGTAGTGCAGACCTAGCCTTCCTAGTGCAGTGATCTAGGTTGATGTACTGAGATATTGGGAACTCTTTGTACTTGATTCCCAGTGAAATGAGAACGATGCCAATTGCACAAGAAGAAAGCAAGCTTTCTCAATGTGCTACTATCATGACAACCCCCACCCCCCCCCCCCCCCTCCCTTCCTCTTAGCAGAAAGCAGCTTTTTTCTGGTGTGTTATGATCCGTGTTTTCTTGCCGACTCACAACTGTGTCATTAGCCTCGCAAGGTGCACATGGCGAAGCAACAATGATACTACCAGTACCAGATTCAACATGTCGGATTGCCTCGTACCATCGCATGCCTCAAACTTTCACAACTTAAAGCAGACACTCCTCTCCATCCGACAGGGAGCCCTCTGCCAGCTCAGACAGCCAATCAGAGACCTCCAGCTGTGCAGCTCTCATGATTCCCCCCATTCCAAGTGGCGCACTCGCCTGCACTCCCCGCTGCCCCTCATGCTTCACCAGAAGCTGAGTCTGTCCTCCCCGCTGCCCCTCATGCTTCACCAAAGGCTTCTCCACTATTAGTGCTGGCACCTGCTGTCCCCCTGGTGCTATTTGCCCTTCGTTAAGAGCGGACTTCGTGAAAGAGCCACTTCGGAGGGAGGGAGGCTTAGAGGCAGCCGGTGACGATGTGTGTAGCATGGCAACAGCAGCAGCTGAAGCAGATGCAGGAGCATGCGCAGGTGGAGCAGCAGTAGTAAGAGGAGGAAACGCGGGAGACGAAGCAGAAGAAGCAGCAGCAGCAGCAGCAGTGGTGGTGGGAGAAGGAGAAGGAGAAGCAACAGCAGAAGGAGCAGGGCGGGCAGCAAGGCTGGGATTGGACCATTTTGCCCTCAATGCGTGTAGGATAGCTCGTGCCTCCTGCACTGCTGCTCTCCTCTCCTCAGCCACGCCTGGACTTAGCCTCTCAGGCCCTTTTTGCGGCGCGTCAAAAGCCGACTCTTGCACTGCTGCTCTCCTCTCATCAGCCACGCCTGGACTTAGCCTCTCAGGAACCTCGGGAGCTGTTGCTGTTGACTTTTGAGTCGACTCAGAAGTCACGCCTTGACCCAGTCTCATGGGGAATTCAGGAGCTGCTCCTGTTGCTACTGCTCCTGTTGCTACTGCTCCTGTTGCTACTGCTCCTGTTGCTACTGCTCCTGTTGAAGTTCTCGACGAAGGTGCAGGCACAGATGCAGAAGCAGAAGCACGTGCAGCAGCATCCAGCCGTCCAGACTCGTCTGCTCCACTCCTCCCTCCGCCCCCTGCCTTCTCTCTCCCTGCTCTCTCTCTTGCGCCCCCAAGCTCCCTGTCGGCTAACTTTGGCTTGAACCGGAAGACCAGCAGACCGAAGGCGGCGGAGAGTAGGTGGATGAGGAAGAGGGGGTTAAAGGCGGAGAGCGGTGCAGGGGGGTCAGAAGCGGTGGAAAGGGTGGGAGGCTGCGGCAGGGAGTGGTGGGGAAGGGTGCGGATGGGCCCATAGGCAAAGAGCTGGGAGAGGAATGCGGAGGGGGTGGTGGGGGCTGGGAATAGGGGAGCTGGGGGTGGGGGAGAGGGGAGGTGCTGTGGAAGAGAGACGGGGAGGCGCTAGAGGCTTCAGAGGGCGGGGTGCGAGGGGAGAGAGAGGTGGGGGAGAGGGAGGTAGGGGAGAGAGAGGAGGGCGAAATGGAGGAGTGGGGGATGTGGCGGTGGGGGTGGGAGAGAGAGGATGGGTGGAGGGGGAGGAGGGGTGGAGGAGGGAGGGGGGATGGGAGAGGGGGGGGGACGGAGGAGATGCCGGGAGACAGGGAGACAGTCAGCGACTGAGGTGCGTTGGTTGGCAAGACTCTAGGATAAGGGTTGACTGTCAGTGCGTTTGCGCCTCCAAGGTTGACCTTAGGTGGGGGGTTGACTGTCAGCGGCTGTGGTGAATCGGTGGGCAGAACAGTAGGAGGAGGGCTGACTGCTAGTAAATCTGCGCCACTAGAAGCAGAGCACAGAAGCTCTCTGGTTTGAAAGGGAGGATCTATGGAAGGAGAACCTGGCGCAGGTTTCCTAGAAGCTGCGTCGCTCGAAGCAGTGCCAGCAGTATCACCTGAAACAGTACCAGCTGTATCACCTGAAACAGTACCAGCAGTATCACCTGAAACAGTACCAGCAGTATCACCTGAAACAGTACCAGCAGTATCACCTGAAACAATGCCAGCAGTATCACCTGAAACAGTGCCAGCAGTATCACTTGAAACAGTGCCAGCTGTATCACCTGAAACAGTGCCAGCTGTATCACCTGAAACAGTGCCAGCTGTATCACCTGAAACAGTGCCAGCAGTATCACCTGAAACAGTACCAGCTGTATCACCTGAAACAGTACCACGCTCTGCTAGATTGGCTATGCCTCCCCGTGCCAGCCACGCTTTCTCTCCTAAGTTCCATCTGCTGCTGACATCCCTCAGCTGTCTCTGTGCCTGTGACTGTGACTGACAGGCAGCGGTTGAGCCTCTAAGAGCCACTTCCTTGAGCGCACATGCATCCCTGCCATGGTGCCTGCTGCACTCACTCGGCTGGCTCTGTGACTGTGCCTGTGACTGAGAGACAGCGGTTGAGCCTCCGAGGGCCGTTTCCCTCAGCTCACACGCATCCGTCGCGTCGTACTCGTCTCTCACACGGCAACCAGCGAGTTGACTTGTGGTTCTCACAAGATTCTGTGACTGAGAGACAGCGGTTGAGCCTCTAAGAGCCATTTCCCTCGGCTCACACGCCTCCGTCGCGTCATACTCGTCTGTCACACGGCGCTTGGCAGGCCTGCCAACATTTTGTGACTGAGAGACAGCGGTTGAGCCTCTGAGGGCCATGTCTCTCAGCGCACATGCATCCCTCCCATGGTGCCAAGCTGTCAGCCTGTGCACGCTCACACGGCCCGCCCACAGTGATGCCCCTTCGTCAGACGATCCTTCAGGCGTTTTTTCAGGTGGTTTTTCTGCAGGCACTCCTGGAAGGGCCCTCTCGTTATCAGATGCATTGCCAGCAGCTGATCGATCGCCTTGTTCTGCCTCAGCATCTGCTTGAGTCACGAGCAACTGGCATGACTCTTGCATTTCATCACAAGACACCTGCTGTTGTGACTGCTGCTGCTGCTGCTGCTGCTCCCCATGTCCTTCTCCCCCCCCTCACTCTCCCCCAACATTCTTTCCCGATCCCCCTTGCCACCCGCATATCAAATCCTGCGCCCATCCGCATATCCCCCACTCCCCAACCCGCGCCAGCGATCTCGTCAGCCTATCCAGGCCCGCCAGCTGTACCGCCAGCTGGCAGGACAGCCCTGCCACGGCTGCCTCCGCTGCCCCACACTCCCTCACTGCAGCCTCCCTCTCCTCAGCCAGTGCTGCTAAATGTGCCCGCAGCCTCTCAGCTTTACTCTGAGGGATATCCGGGATAGCCTGCTCCACCTTGATGGGCGACCTGCTGGCAGGCGAAACTTGATGGGGCGGGGGTGGCTGTCAAGCCCGCAGACCACCGATTTCTCTTCCTTGCTGTGCCGCGAGTCAGGAAGCCCAGACAAGTGTCCGCCCCCGCTGCTGCTGCTGCTGCTGCTGCTGCTGCTGCTGCTGTCACGGGTGTGGTTGCAGGGGCCGCTGGAAGAACTCGGCTGGCTATTCTCCCTTGCACCAAAAGCTTGGGGCGCGCTCTTTTTCTCGCCATCCGCCACCCTACTTTCCCCTGTGCCAACTACTGCCCCCGTCTTCTTCTCCCCTCAACGGCACCAGCTCTCTTCCTTCCGACCCCTCCGCAGCTAATGCTGCTATCGCCTCCCCTTCTCCTCTCTCCCTTCCTCCATCCCTGCCTCTCTCTCCTCTCTCCACCTCTCCTCCCTCTTCCCCCATCTCCCCTCTCTCACCCCCAGTTGGTACTCTCACCGCCCCTCTCTCTCCCCCGCCAGCAGTCTCACCTCCCTCAGTTGCGCCTTCACCAGTTCCACCTCCCCCACCAGGGCCCGCCTCTCTCTCTCCCCGCTCTCCACCTTCTCTTCAAGCCTCCGCACCTCCCTCCCCTCCGCTCCGCCTCTCTCTCCGCCTCCCTCTCCGCCGCCCTCCTTTCCGCCCGCATCTGCGCCATCTGCCGCCCGGTTTCCGCCACTTGCGCCTCTAAGCGTGCCACTTGCGCCGCCCAGAATCGCTGCTGCGCGTTTAGGGTTTCCTCCGCTTCCTGCGCGACTTTCGCCAGGCGTTTTTCGAAGGAGGTCCGCTCCGCTATAAGCTGATTCTGTAGAAGCAGAATGATCTGCTCTGGGGAAGGATCTTGGGGACAGGAAAAGGCGGGAACTCGTTTGGTAGGGGATGGAGGCCCCCTATTTCTGCTGCTCCTGCCATTTCTGCTGCTACTCTTGGTGCTGCTGCTGGAGATTCGGCTGCTGTAACTGCTGTATCTTCTGCTGCTGCTGCTGCTGTTGTCGTTATGCTGCTCCGCTCCCGTACCGGAGCGATTTCGCCTTGTGCTTCGTTTGAAGCTGCTTCGAATAACGGCAGTGCTGCGGGTGGCATGGAAAGGTGCGGCATCGTTACACGCGATGCTGTAACCAATGGCATGGTTACACGTGATGCTGTGGTAACCAGTCGAATTCTAGTACCAGCGACGGGCTCCGCTAGCTGCGCTGTCCTTTCTTCCAACGCTCCCAACGGAATACTATCCGTATCCCCGGGATATTTTGAAGAGGGCCTTCAAAATCGCATTATTTACTTCAGTTAACGAATAATAATTCCATCGGCGTGTGAGATCGAGAGCTCGTCGATATTCGCATCTGCTATGGATCAGCAGCGTCTACTGCACCTGAGCTGGACTCGGCATTCAGGTCGCTCTCTAGGGGACTTAGATCATCGGCACATTGTTCACATGATCATTCATGCCAAGTTGCAATACAAAATTTCGAACTCTGTTCGTCTGGCTCGTCATTCTACTCCCACCAAAACTGACGTTCGGCTCGGAGAGGCCGAGGGAGGGAACCTCGGGACGGACGGAAGGTCACCCTGTGAGGGCTACTCGGCGCAGAAAGTTTTGCCATCTCCACCCCACCTGTAGTTTTCGGAACCAGCACTGCTCTTCGATTCACAACCACGCAACAATTGGGGTTCGGAAAGAGGATGCCTGTTCGTTCTCTACCGGAAAATATTATTATATTTCTCACATATGGCCCTGGATGAGGAAGCATTCGGGGTAAGTTACCCTTAAAGCGTGAGGCTTCTTCCATGTTTCATCAATTCCAAGGGGCATGTACTTCTCCCCTTCCTGACTTTTTTGAGTGGCCAGCCTAAATATTTATTATTTTCTTCAGTCGCATGTGCTGTTTACGTACTCGCAATCAGTTGGACGATTTTGTTAGGCTGTCAAGCTCAGTAGACGAGACGCTATGTCGGTGAGTACCGAAAATCTGAGTTCCCATTTCCAGAAATCGAGCCATGGTCTGACGTGGAACGAGGTCTTCCGTCGCAGGAATTGCTATCTCGGTTGGACAGCCACGTGGCAGGCCTGCAAGAAATCATCAACGCCACGCGAGAAACGGCGTGCGATCTGTCGGTGCAGCTGCAGACATTAACGACCAAGAATAAGAAGCTCAAGGTCGAAAAAGCTCAGCTCGAGCAAGAAATCGCTCACTGCAAACAGGAAAACTGTCGCTTTAGGCACCAGTTAGAGGAGCGGGATGTGCGGATTGCAGAGCTAGAAGCGGCGGTTTTAAGAGCGACTAGTTTAAGGGCGACTGCCTTACGAGCGATTACCTCACCCGTTGGACACAGTAGCACCCGCCCTAACGCGCTGGCGACGACAGCACCCTCACCTGTTCCGGGAAAGCCGGCGTTAGTTAATGGGGTAGCGTCAGCTGTGACCTGTGGAAGGGACTTGGTTCTGATCGATGGGGGAGGGTCAACGGTAATTGGTGGGGGGGGGG